TGATATGGTGAGCGAACCTCACCTCTGAGTTCTCAGTGGGTTCCCAAAGTTTCTCTGATGATGTTGATGATGAAGCCTCTTGCGTTTTAGAAGTTCTCTTCTTCTAATGTTTATATTGCTCTTCGTCTTGATGTTTTGGGTTTGCCTGATTTTTTGATTTTTTTCTTTTTTTTTTTGATTTCGTTTGCCTGCTCCTCTTTTTATGATGATGAACCATTATATCATGTTATTTTGAGTTTTATGGGCCTGGATTCACGAATTTTCCGCCGGATTTGTTGCTATTCCGTGATGGTTTTTTTTTTGTTTGTCTTTCAGGAATTCTTGGTGGCGAATTTGTTGCCTGTGTATGATGGATCTGTGTTTTGCTTGGTCATGGTGATTGTTTATGGTTTTTCTCACGGTTTTGTTGTAGTTGTTTGACGAAATCTCGCTGGAAATTTGGGGGAAATTTGTTGCTGGACTTGTTCGCCTGAGTTTGTTGTGCGTGGATCTTGTTGCAATTTCCATGGAAAAATTTATTTTGAATCCATTTTGGGATCATAAATTCTTGGAACAATGTGTTAGTGGGCTGTTTGGCAGCAATCATGTGTTTGCAAGAAAAAGTGCTTTTTTCCAAAAGCGCTTTTCAAAATCACTTTCTTAAAACTCTCTTACCCTCTCCTGGCTGGAAACTTAGAACAGATATTGTCGGGTCCGGGCCGGAGTCGAGAAAATAAGTCGGGAGCTGGCGACGACTCCGTCGTTGGCCTCCCGACATACCCGATGATGATTTTATTGCTGAGGGTATCGGAACCGTCCAAAACCAATTTTAATTAGTTCTAACGTTAACATTATTTCCTTTGTTGTCGATTTTCCTGCAGGTTCGAAAAGTCGAGATCGAAGAATTGGCCAAGAAGACAAATTTAGAAAAAAATAGGACTTGAGTAATTTATTTGTAATTATCCTTTTTCAATATCATACTATTGAAATATTGTAATAATACCAAAAGTGAAATAAATAAAATTTCAATTACTTTTCAATTGCATTTCTCTATTAAAATTTTCAGTTCCAATCTCCGATAAAAATCTCTGAATACTCCTTCGATAAAGCTTAAACGAATAAACTCCTTTAATTAAAATTCACCCAACCGAATTCCTTTGTTTAATTCTAACGAATATTATCTTGATTGAATTTATCCGACTTAATTCCTTCACTTACATTCAACCAAACAACTTTGATTAAGTAAACTTAAACGGTTAAGCTACTCCCATTAAATTTGTCTAAACAAAATTCTCTGCTTAAACTTAACCGAATAAAGTCACTTAATTAAATTGAACCGACTAAATTCATCCGGCCAAGCTCATCTAAACAGATAACCTGACTAACTTCAAATGATTCAAACTCGTCTGATTTAAATCCACCTGACCAAATTCCTCTGACTAAAAATTCAACCGATTTAAAAGTCAATTGCTTGAATTTATCAAGTAAATTCAGTTAGTGAAAATTGTCTGATTTCTATGACGTTTGACCATTAACCACTGAGCTCAACAAACCTCTTGCAATTCAATTTGTATTTGATATTAACAGTGAATATGGCCTTGAACAGATAAGCAAAGAAATTTCCGTTAAACGGCAGAACGAACTGTCTTTTGTATTAAAAATTCAAAACGCATATTCTTGACTACTTTAACTCGGCGACCTGAATCAGCTCAACTAATAGTTATGACCCTAAACAAACAGATATCCATTATAAGTTCAATGCGCACCGAAATTCCACTGTTCCTTTAAAACCCGACAGTTGACTAGCAAAAAACAGGAAAACATGTATCTGTCAGAATAAATCCCGCAAAGCAAATTCTCGCACCAGTTTAACCCGAATCCACTGACACCTCAGCAGATTCAGCTATAGATGGCTTAATACTCAAAAAGAATTTTTGAAACCCGTCTGACGACTAAGTCTCTGCTCTGGAATAACACGGGCTTTGTTGTTAGAAATCTGACGTCAAAACTGCCGTAAAATTCGATTCATCCTCAAATAAACAACAAGACTTAGAGATGGAAACCCTAATCACTTGAGGAATACCTAAAGACAACTCAACTTCATAAATTGTCAGCAAGCTGCAAATTAATGACCATTTTGCCCTTCACCAATTAAACTGCGCATAGTGTGATTTTTCCTACAAAATCAACGGATTGAGCAAACTGTTTAGCGGTTAGTTACAAAGCAATGCAAAATGAGATGAAATGCAAAATGAACCTAATAATCTAAGGGTAAAATTTGGGGTATTACACAAGCTTTCTAGGATTTCTTCTCTCAAGCCATAACACCCTTCCAAGTTCTTCTCTCTTTTTCCATTTTTTTTCACGTACTAAAGAAATAACCTCTAAAAACCTAATTTTTGTCTAACTTTAAAATATATACTATTTTATTTAACTCTCTAAATTACACTTTTTGCCCAACGAAATCTCAACCTTTCTCCAGTCACCACTAAACTCTCACAATTTTCAAATTTGGCTCAACTCTACAAATTCTCACCAATTTCTAATTAAATTATTAATCAATTTTCACTAACTCAATTAATTAACAAAGAGCATCACAAATACTGTCACCGACCAACATGTCACATAATTAAAAAAAAAGTAATTTTTTAAAAATAAAATACTCAATCAAATTAAATAAATAAGTAAATAAGTGAATAATTAAATCGGAGTGTTACACACGCCGTCTGAACACCCTTGCCCGAAAGACTTTTGATACAATGAGCCCTAGTCGATCTAGGCTCTGGTACCACTGTTAGGTCGTAAAGGGGTTCGGGGATTATCACATTGGGATTTATACACTCACTTTAAATGATTTGAACACCACATATTAAATCAAAACCTTAAGACATTGGGCTTACGAGTCTTCTCAGTTATAAACTGTTTAACACTCACTTTTCCATCCAATGTGAGACTCATATATACTCACACTTGATATACCAAACAAAGTTTGATATATTTTAATTTGGTTTCAATAAACAAGTTTATAAATAGTCAATTTGTTTCGAATTTCAAGTGCTAGAACATAAATAAAAAATTAAGAATAACTTCTTGAGACAACACTGCAATTTGGTCATATTTTGAATAAATTGAAATAGTTTCCATACTTACCTGACCAATTCATATAAGAAACGTGACTCAAATCGAAGATCATCTCAATATAGTGTGTAAGCATTTTTTTTTCTTTTGATCAATTAAAAAAAAGAAATTTTTTCAGAGGATAATATTTTTAAACTATACATAAGTTATGTTTAAAAATAAATTCATAACCATTATAACATAATTGTCTAATTCTTAATAAGTTGTATTTAAAATCCTCTATTTAGGTTGAATACCACTGTTTGTGCCCTTGTTATTGTTTTTAAAAGTTACTAATACTCCATATTTTTATTTGAATGATAAAAAAAACTTTTTATTTATTATCACATGTCTTGAACAACCATTATCCAAATATTAGGTATTTCTCATGACTACTAGAAGACATCCATGTATTAGAGGTTAATAGTGTTTTAGATAGCCCTAAAGATTTATTAATGAGAGCTGGTTTTAGAAATCTTATTACTTTCTTTTTGTTTTTTTGCTGAACAAACTATTTACCAACTAAATCAATTGATTAACAAAGTTTCTTTTGGCTTAAATGTATTTTGGGTTTTCCTATTTTGATTTTTATAAATTTTACTATTCTTTAAAAAATCAGTTTTTTTATCCCCAATTATTAAATTTCTTGTTTTTTTATTGATCCCATTCACTTGACCGTCCAATTTATGACTTGACAAGTAGAATGTGGCCACATATTAGAACTTTATTATTAAAAATTATGAAAAACTATTTAATTATTTTTAACATTTAGTCCTTATATCATTCTTGGCCACAAGGACTACCTCAATTCTTTGACAATTTCTAATCTCACTAGTTTCTTAAATTGTCATAATCATTCAAATCTTACCCATTTTAATTTTTCAGATAATCAATTTAAAGAAAATATACCTTTTTCAATTACCATGGTTGAATTTCTTCAAAGTTTGAATCTTTCTTCTAATAAACTTGTTTCCCTTTAAAAATATCTCTAGCTTGAATCTAGCTAACAATAATCTGAAATAAAAAGTATCAAATTGCTAATCGTTAAGAGCAGTTTGGAATAATGATTTTCAATTGTTTTAAAGTATTGATGACGTAGCGGTACATGGAAAGATGAGTTGCATGCATTTGAAGACGTGTACATGGAAAGATGAGTTGCATGCATTTGAAGACGTGTCAATTCTTTAGAAGTAAATTGTCAGAAACATTTATTTTTAGTTTATTATATATAGTATGCTAATGTGTCGTAATAAAGGTCGTAAATTTCGTATATTTTCTTTATAGAATTGAAGTACCCAAAACAAAGGCTGAAACAATTTGTGAGTAATATGTGAGACTGTGTCTCTTTCTTCGTACTTTTTATGTTTTCTTAATTAAAACATCTTTTCTTTTGCCATCTATTACATTTATTTGATGTTGTTGATTTCAAACTTATTTTATTTCAATTTAAGTTTTATTGTCTTTAATGTTTACTTTTATATTGTCTACATGTTGACATTCGTAGTCACATCATACACATATTTTTTTTTAAATGTGTTTGCATAAAGATATATCTGCAATTTTTCGAGTTAATTTTAAAAATTTTCAAACTCGTGATTGTTCGTTAAAATTCATGTGAATTCAATTGCACTTTTTTCCATTGTTCTTTTAATTGTTTGCGCAAAATATTTTTTTGTAAGATTAATAATTGAATGAAATCCGAGGAGGAAGATGACCTACATGAAGAAGTTCCTTATCATTCTTTCTAATGATAAATTAGTAAATAACTGTTTAATATATGGCGCCACATCCTACTTGCAAATAAAGTTCCAACTTCAAATTACAAAGAAAATGACACATGTGAACAAGTCCTTAACTTGTCTTAACTTGTTCAATTTTAGTAATAAAATCAAGAAATAACTTTTCTATTTTCTTAGAACTTTAATATCCTTCCAACGAGATTCTGCGCAGCTAGAAGGATCATTTTGCAAATAAACCCCAAATTTAAAGTAGTGAGTGTTCACTCCACGACCAACTCCGTCATACGTAAGAACCTCGTCAATATAAACCCTAACATTGTTAGCACCAACATCATGAATAGCGTTCATCTTGAACCATCTGTCATAGATATTCTGAGACAAAACAGGAGATTCATAGTAAGTAAGTGAACCATTGTAGATCCTAAGTTGTGTTGTTGTCGCATAAGGACTTCCACCAAACACTTGCATAATACACACCCCGCTTGTGCCACTTGGAATATAACCATACCCTTCAAATTGCCATGTACCACATGTATAGTCGTGTCCCTGCAATTACAAAGCATAAATTATCATGTCACGTATTTCTCTAATCAGATACATCAGTTATTCAATAAAACTTACACTGATTCGAACCTCGGTTCGAGGTTGAGTATTGGTTTCATTCGTGAAAGGTTTGTCGGTCGGATATATCCAAAATTGGTGCACTCCATTTGTGAAGATGTAACGTTGATTTATTGGAAGATTGTAGGGTTTTTGAATATCAAAGTTTGAGTTATTTAATGAAACAAGAGTGAATCCTTGTGTGAGATCGAGAGAAGATGAAGTAATGCTGGTTTGATGGATGATTAATAACATAAGACTCATGAGTAAAATTTGTAACAGTGACATTTTTTTTTGGGTGGGAAAAATGATTTGTTATTTTTTTTTCTGCGGATTGAAGATGGCTTCATTATGCTATATGGTTGTAGCTATATTTATATATAATGTTTTTGCTAATTATGCTAATAAGAGATGTAATTTAGGATTGAAGAAAGGGTAGAATGAAAATGTTAAAGTGTTTTTAAACTACATATAACAAAAAGTCTTTAAAAAAATAAACTACTATACCGCCCTAAAACGTTGTTTCTTTCTCTAGGTTACTAAATAAATTATAAAAATTAGTTTTAATCATGATCTTGACTCTCCATAAATTTTAATTAATAGCGCCGCTGCTAATGTTGGAGTTATGTAACAATTGATAATTTTATAGTTTAACATGTTCTATACAACCATTTATTTATTTAAGATAACATAAAAGTATAAATTTGTTACTTTTCTCGTAACAAGACAAATAAAGAATAACAAATTATGTTCGAATAAGTGAGTTTAGTGAATAGCGGTTAGTTAATGACTCATAACTAATCAATTAATTTAAATATTTGATAAATTAGCAATTATGCTTGTTGATAAATACAAAATGATATAAAAAAATATTTATCAGTACAAAAAACACATTTAACTTCAGGGAATTCAACCTCTGTTACACAAGCGAGATAACGAATAATGTCATGAAAATTTGCCACATTACCTCTCGATTTTGAAATAACTGAGGGGTAAAGTGTTTTTCACTTGGGTTCGATCCCAACAACTGCATTTTTAGTATTTTCATAATTGGATGATGGGCCCAACATTTCCTCTCGGTTATTTGAGAAACTGATATAATAGAGAAAAATTGTTACCTTAGTGTATAATAATAACTAAGAGGAAAACCTTGTTATTTTTTTTCTTTATTTTTTTTATTTTTTTTAACTATATTACATAACCATATTTTGACAAGAGCTTAATTGATATGCGCTAATAATGTAAAATAATTTTATACTGCCATCTAATGAGAATTTATCAATCTATCATGTCATACCGTTAACTTAAAATTTACAGTATGATGTGGCGGGATACATGAGAGTGATTGATTGACAATATAAAATTATTTTACACTCTCTGTGCATATCCCATTTTCTCTTTTGACAATTTTTAAAAAAGAAACTTTGTACCTTTGCACCATTTCTCAAAAAGAAATATTGTATAAAAAAATTCATTTTTACACCATTTGCAAAGCCAAAATAGCACATGTAAACCTTATAATTTTACAACAGATTAAAACTAAAACAAATGATTAACCAACAAACACAATAACCAAAATGCAAAGTCTTGTAAACCGTTCAAAAGTTCTCTTTTGTGACTTGTCACCGGTCGTTAAACACCTATATTTTGAACCACATTTGAAACTAATTAAGATCAATAACAACAACATTAAATCTATATTAAATCTTTAGTAAAAAAGAATATAAAAAGATAAATGCATAAATATATATATTACTAAGTGATATAAAACATTTACTTACTAGTTTTATCATATCTCATCTTGATGATCATGACAAATAACACATACATCATCATCTGAATCATTTCCTTTAGATAAGAGACGTACATGTGTCGCAAAAGAAGGGATATTAAAATTTAAATCTTGATTTTCATCACTATTAAGAATAAATTTTTCTTGTTGAATAATTGACCATATTGTGTTAGAAAGATCAGTGGCATAAAAAACTTGTTTTGCTTAGTATGCAATGATGAATGGTTCGTCCATATAAGTTGTCTTTCGAAGATCAATCCCTGTGAATACTAATTATTCTGGACTGGGCCTCGGTTAGCCGGTCAGGCCCAATCTCACTTTCACGTAAAGGCCCAAAGACGTCCTGGGCAAACGCATGACACCCACGAGCTGTGATGGGTTCACCGGGCACGTACCACACAATATGACGTTCGCCACACATGACCCTCATACCAGGCACGGGTTCATGAGCTGAGGGCACAAGCCACCTGCCCGGTACGTACGCGAGCCGAGCACGTTTGTCTACCTATGAGATACACCACGAGCAGGATCTCCTCGGCCGGGGAGATCGCGGGCATGACATGTTATCCACGTGCTTCCCCCTCTTGCGGAAACACGTCATAACCCAACCGTCCACTCCCGAAAGACCAGGCGCACTTTCCGGAAACCGTGGAGCGGTTGAACTAGGGCAAAGACCTCCTCTTGGTCTTCTTGATGCCACATCAGCCCTAGCAGTCCTTTGGGGTGGGCCTGTTCGTCCAGCCCAAACGACCGTTGGCCCAGCGCTGGGGTCTATAAATACCCTCTTCCACAAGAGGGTCAGGTATTCACTTCTTACCCTCTGTATTTGCACTGCTCTGCCCAAATATCTTACTTTGGCATCAGAGTTCCTTGCAGGTACACCCCCCACCTTTCCTTCTCAGCACCGGCGGACGGATACCAGCCCAACCAGACGAGGCCAGACAGTGACCATCCTCCTGATCAGGTCAGATCACTAATTAATCAGTTTTTACACCAGTGTTGCTTTCAATCTACTTGCTCTTAAATAAGGCACTTTAAAATTTACATAATCAATCTCAAAAATCTTCTCAATGACCCTAAAATACGTTTTAGATGCTAGTAAAGGATTCTTATCTTTTGAACTAGACAAATACATGGATTCAGCTTCAACCATAACTCCACTATGTTGCACAATATTACGATCATCAATTTTTTTTGTATAGAATGAATATTTAGTAATGTTGTATGCACTCCAAGTTATTACATTAAACTTAGGCATATGTGACATTCATTTAAGTGTCTCTGATCCACTGCTCTCTTTAAAAATCCTTTCATTAAACCAAAATATGAAAGTTTTATTATGCTTTATCAACAATATTTTTCCACTCATCCGGAGGAGTTTTTTCTTGTTAATACTTTTGTGAATGGTCAAGTAAAGTTAAACTTCACTAACATATTCAATATATGCAAATATGCTTAAATAGCTACATCTCAGTCAAATGTCTTAACATATAAACCTTAAATACAGCTACCATCATATCTTCCATCACGACGAGACTCGGGAATTCTTAAAGAGTTTGCTTTTGAAAAATAGTTTGTACAAACTCAATAGTTTCTTCTGTGATGTACCATTCAATGATTGAAGCTTCTGGGTGGTGATGATTATCTGTATACACTTTAAAGATCTCATGTATCGCTATACCAGATACATCCACCATAAATAAAATGGACCACTAATTCTAATCTCCCTTACTAGATGAACAACTAAGTGAATCATAATGTCAAAAAAATAGTTGAGGGAAAAACATCTCTAATTCACACAAGATAATTGCAACCTCATGTTCCAACTTATGTATAATTCCAAGTTCAGTGACTTTACTACATATAGTATTGAATTATAAACTCAACCTGATTATAGTTACCCTTACATTTTTTATCAGAATGCCACAGATAACCACCAATAGAAGTTGTTGTATCAAGACATGACAATCATGAGATTTTAATCAAACTAATTAAATATCATTTATTGACACAAGTTTCTTCATATTTGATGAGTACCCTTGGGGAACTTTGATACCCTGCAAACAATCGCAAAAACTTTTTTTTCTTCTTTAGACAGAGTGTGATATACTGGGGGGAAATATATTCTATTTCCTATATCTTTTGGGGCTAACTCTTGTCGTATACCCAACATCATCATATATTCATGAGATTTCTTAGTATGTTTTGCCTTTTCTTTAATATTTAGAAGTGTTCAAATCAAACTATAACATACATATTTCTCCACATATACCACATCAAGACAATGTCTTACATCAAGACTAGACCAATATGGAAGATCAAAGAACACCGACCTCTTTTTCAAAATATTTTCTCCAAAGGCCCTTTTAGTTATTTTCCAAGACAACATTAATGTGTTATTGTCTTTTATAAATTTCCATCCCGGTTAAAGAATTTGGAGCGATACCAAACTCATGTTTTCCATTAAAAGCCTTCTGCAATCTACGATATGGATGATTAGGTCTTTCAAATTTTCGATGCCCAAGGTAAACAGTCTTTTTTCCATTTTGAAATTGGTGGAAGCATGTATCATCTTCACATATAGGACACATTTTATGTCCCTTGACGTCGTACTTCAAAAAATTACAATATACAAGAAAGTCATTGATTGTGCAAAATAACATGGCATGTAGCTTAAATTTATCACTTGTATACGCATCAACATCAACGCCTTCCTGCCACAAAATTCTTAAATCTTCAATCAACGGTGTTTAGTAAACATATGTGTCATTCCTTGGTTGTTTTAGACCCAAAATCATCATTGATAACATCATATATTTGTGCTTCATGCACAACCACAAAGATAGGTTGTAAATTATGAGAAGAACCTGACCATAAAGTATGGTTTGTACTTAAATTACCAAATGGGTTCATTCAGTTGATGGAAAGTTAAAGCCTAAGGTTCCTTGGCTCAAGGAAAAAATCTAGAAACAATGAATAAATTTTCTTCCATTGCAATGAATCAGATACATGTCAAATTTTTCCATCACATACTCTTTAATCTGCATGTCATCTGTATTCTTTGCATTAGAAAATAGTCTCTTGAACCTTTAAATTATAGGTAGATACCATATTACCTTGTAAGGAACGCCCTTTCTAGTTACACCATCATCATTTTCAACATCATTGTCTTTCAACTTGTAGCGTGACTCCCCACATGTTGGGAATTCCTTCAAGTTTTCATACTATTTCCTATATAATATGAAATCATTACGACACGCATGTATTTTGACGCAGTCTAAACCTATTGGACATAATATCTTCTTGGCCTCATAACTATGATCCGATAACGTGTTACCTTCTGGAAGCATTTATTACAACAATTCAAGCAATTGAGTAAAACATTTATTCGGCCACCCACCTCTTTCCTTAAGATTAAATACTCTTAATATATCTGACAATCTTGTGCAATTTTTGCATCCCAGGTATAACGTCTCTTCGAGGTCTCTTTGCAAAG